TCAGACCTCCATTAAGTGCAAACAAATGAGGCCTAAAAGCAACAGTTAGCAACGAGACACAACAGGTAATAACACTGTAGAGTAAGCTCAACACAGTTTAAATACGGTGAAGCCAAATAAATGAAGACAAGTGACAACTCAGTAGGAACAACCGCTTTCACACTAGGTTTATCCAAGAACTTCCACGAGGTACCAAACCTCAAAATCACAAATCACGGGTCCCAATTCGTGAACCCTAATCACTTGGCATCTTGTGCCCACATTACAATTCATAACAGCATTGCCCAAGGAGTGACGGTATCTAATATCTGCATGGACCACTCATGTGCCAACAATAATAATGACTCATGACTGCACGGACAACTTACGTGCCAACAAGATAACTCTCACACATAAGGCAAGTACACGGGGGCACATGTAAATGGTCAAAACATCAAGATTCATCTTCTGAGACCAATATGGGCGATTTATCTACGTGTATGCTTGTGCAAGTGTTCTACCCCAATTCAGGTCAACAAGTAAGATAGAGACAATGAATGGCACATAAGAAACGATCACCACAAAATGTACAGTATAATAAAGACAGCAATGAAATTGAAACAATGATTAGCACAACAAGATTAGCTACATAGAATTAAGCAAATAGTGCAACACGGAGAAAGACAATTAGTGGTATGCTAAGGAAACAAGAAGCAAAGACAAGTATAAAATAATGGGGAAATGTCAACAAGATTCACTACCGAGGTACCGCCACGTAGTCTCAAATCATAAAATGAATCACAATCTTTTCTTATATCACCGCGAGAGCCTTTAAATTTAGTTTTAAAAATTATTTTTTCCGAAATAGCATCCTGCGTTTTAGCCCACCTTATCACACCGTATGGCTTCTAGTAGTTCCCATACAAGCCATGCGTATCAAGCCCACCTTATCTCACCGTATGTGTTTCAACACCCATACCTTATACCACTACATGCATATCAATAATAATAACAGCACGACAGAAACCTCGTGCAAACACCATAACAACAGCACGAGAGAAACCTCGTGCAAACACCATAACAACAGCACGGCAAAAACCTCATGCAATCACCGAATAATCCTCTCAACAATAACACGTGTACCAAAACATAACAACTCAACAAAATGACTTTCACAATATGTGCCCAAATTTCACAACATTTCCTCAAAATAGTTTCAACATCACAACCACGCATAGCCCTCAGCTCAACAACACTGAATACAACAACAACAACAACAACAACAACAACAACAACAACAACAACAACAACAATAACACGAGGATACAACAAGTAAATCAGCTCAGGAACTTCAGAACATAAGGAAATGGCAGAACGAGCTCACAAAGAAAGACACAATAGGGAATAATGGTGGAGGTCCCTAGCTGCAATAAAAAAACAGCGCTAACGAGCAAGAAAGACGAAGGAATTGCAGCCTAACCATCTATGAGATCGGAGACTTCGAGAGGCTTCCCAGTCCTCTTTCAGCTTTTTCTTACTTTTTTGAGCTCTCAGCTGCTTCGGCGGTGCTTTTTCGCCTTCTCTTCGCTCTGGACAGGAGCGTGCTTCCCTCTCGCTTGACTCACTTTGATTCTGCACTTGCCAAGTAAGAACTTTTTTCTTAAGTAGCGGTCATGTCTTCCCCCTCCCCCCCAATATAGTGACCACATTTTCTGTTGAGGTCTATCCTGCAGAGTTACTCAAATTATTCTTTCCACTGCTTGAAGTGATTGTTACGATCACGAAGAAACGACAAATCCCAACTACAAATATATAGATCGTAGTAGTTCGCCAAACTCGTAGAATGTATGAAGTCGCCCCGAGAATAGAAGCGAGTCGCTTCCAGCCTGTCTTGTAGTCGTAGTCTTTTAGCTTATGTAGTCGTCGGCTTTCCTACATGCATGCCTCCGCCAGAATGCCTCTTTGGTTTGGGACAAAGCCAAGCCGATACATATGATATGCGAAGGAAAGACCCCCATTTCATAGCTCCTGGGGAACGCAAGTTTGATCGAGGATTGGAGAGGAGAGGTGGAAGAAAGAGCTCAGGATGGATTTAGGAGTCTTTGTACGAGCCGTATGCGGTGTGAGAAAAAGCACCTTTCGTGATTCAAGTAGTAAAATCAGATACATGATTGAGAAAGGAATCTTCCAAGCGCAGATTTAGCTGAATCTATTATAAGGTATGCATTTTTTCTATTTAGAGAGGGGGGGGGGTTTCAAGTTCTGAGGAA